CTCAGTGCACCCTGCTTCTGTTTTGGCTGTTCAGTTCCGTGACTGTTTAATTGGACTCTTTGGTTTGCTTTTAAACAATGTGTTACAGAATATCTTCTGTCTCAATGAGTGTTTAGAGTTGGTGCCACACTATGAACTGTGTATTGTAGATAAATGCATATTCTTTAATGTCTGCACTGGAAAGCGCTAAATATTCTCACACTCCAAATAATAATAATCCTTGCGTTTGATATAGTACCTTAGCTTCGAGACATCTCAAAGCGCTTCACAGAATATACTGTAAATTATGTGAGCAAATGCGGCAGCCAGTTTTGCTCACAGCAATGTCCCAGAAACAGTCATGAAGTGAATGACCAATTTTATGTGAAAGTAATTTTTCTGGGTTAATTTTTCTTATCATATTATGTGTAATATATACCTGTGTAATGAAAGTGTCTCTTTTCAAGTGCTATTTTAATAATGAGGTGCATTAATGCGTTCAGCCTAAATTGTATTCAGGAACTTTATGTTCCATATCCATATCCAATGTTAATATTCTTTTAAGTGCCCTTCCATAAACACTTGGCATTATTTCTCAAGCTCTTTTGTAATAGGAGAAGGTCAAATTTAAGACTTATTTTCTTCTTCCTAAGATGATCCGAGAGCTTCTTATAAAGAAGCAATCCTTCGTCCTTTTTTTACCCCATTCCCTGAATCTCTGAAATAGATCTTATTACACTTTTTTTTAGGTACCAGCATCAAATGCTCTGGAATAATGCTGAACTCAATAAACTCACTCTGTGTAAAACAGTTGGGTTACAGTCATTCTTTTGTATTTCTGGCATTATGCAACAGCTGAACAAAAGCTGAGGAACACTAGCCCCATTGTAAACGTTTTTAAATAGAAGACGAAACAGGCAGTCTGTTTTTATCAAATGACAAATATAACAATATTCACTCAATCCACGGCTGTTGTGGGCGCTGCTGTGCGCAATTGGCTGCCGTATTTCACCCACAAAATATACAGTCAATTCACTTTACAGTACATTCTGTGAAACGCTTTGAGACGTCTCAAAGGCGCTGTATCAAATGCAAGGATCATTATTATTACTATTATTTTTGTTCGCGAAATATTACAAAGTTATTCCTGTAACTGTGTTGAATTGTTTCAATAAAACGCTGTAAGTTGTTTTCTGAGTTCAGTGACACATATGTTCATTGAAATGTTTTGTGCAATTCTGTTGCCCCCAACTGAAACAATAGAGAATAACAAGGATTGCAAAGGCCAAGCAATGCTCATTATTTTATGAGTCTTGATGCAGATTGGATAATAATAAAAATAATGATAATAATCCTTGCATTTGGTATAGCGCCTTATCACGTCGTTGAGACGTCTCAAAGCGCTTCGCAGGACAGACTGTAAAGTGGAGTGACTGTGTGGAAACACAGGAGTGAGAGAAACTGGAAAACACATTCCAGTCTGAACTATCCTATCTTCAAAATACTCTATACCATTGCTCCTCACGCACCTCACATACTTCACATAGTTTCTATCTCCAAATCCCCTTTGTGACCATAAGCCTTTCTTTGTGGGGAATAATTAACAAAAATCTCTCCCTCCACTCCCTACTCGAAACCCTCCAGGCCGGTTTTTCCACTGCCCACAGCACAGCGATCGTCAAAATGACTAATGACACCCTCCCTCTGTGACCAGGGCTCACTCTGCCTCCTCGGTCTCCTGGCCCTCTCAGCCACGTTCGTCACAGCTGATCACACCACCTTCCTCCACCGCCTCCGCTCCCTCATCCACCTCATGCACTCGCACTCGCGCGGTTCAAGCCCTACTGAGCAAACTGACAACAATACATCACGGCAAGTGGTTTTCCCTCAATGCCACGTTCGCATTGTCCAGAGTCCTGTTTCTGTAAATCCTGCTAACTGAAATCCTGATGATCTGGATCGTAAAAGGTATAGATAGGCAGGATTCCAATATCACGATTGACTTATAATAACCCTCGCATTTGATACAGCGCCTTATCACGTCTTCGAGACGTCTCAAAGCGCTTCACTGAATATACTGTAAAGTGAATGGACCCTATGTTTTGCGGGCGAATTGCCAATCGCGCACAGCAGCGTCCCACAAACAGTCATCTGTTATTTTTTTAAGGAATTAGTGCCCCAGAAAAGCGATCCGTCAATCGACTAACAACCAGGTTCCCACTTACTGCTGGTAAACAGAGGCGTGTGGAGTAAGGAAGTTTGCCCAACATTTCGCCCGGCCCGGGAATCGAACCCAGGGCTTGCGAGGCGAGGGCTCTAACCGCTGAGCTACAGGACTTTTTACGATTAAGAAGTCCACAAGGGCAAGTAAGGTTTTGAGGTTCAAAGCGAGAAGGTAAAACAAACAGTTTAAATATAACTACTTCAACCAATATTGGTGACGTGTGTGCTCGGGAAGGAGAGAGGCCACTATCAAAAGCAAATTAGGCAGGTTTGTGTTTGGGGTGTGGGGGATTCAGAGATAGTGCTGTAGCGTTAATAAATACGAGTCCAGGACAGACGACAGCAGTGGTTGTTTTTCAGATGGGGGCCACATCCTTGTGGCTTACGCTATATGGCCTGGTTTTATAGTTTTATACTATAAAATCAATGCCAAGAGGAAAAGAGGTTTTATGGGGACAGGTGGAATTTGCACTGCTTCGTTTGAATGCCCCCTCCCCGCAGGTCAGGACTGCTCAAATCCTCCTCCCTCCACAAGCTGCAGGTCACCCAGAACCCTGGGACTCGTGTCCTCTCCACCCCTCCGTATAAACCACTCCGAGACGCCTTCGGCCACCCTCCTGCCTTCTCCGCCCTTCCTAATCCCAACACCACCCCCCCGCCCTCCCCCCCACTCCGCTCGGGTCCTCATCCCTGACTGTTCAGCGTCTTGGGACGTCCTCCTCGAGGTGAATTGGAGGGCTCAGCAGGTCAGGCAGTATCTATGGAGAGGAAAGGGAGTCAGCGGTTCTTTCGTCGGAACCTTTATTTCAGATTCGCGGCATCTGACGTGCAGCACCGGAACCAAATAACAACAACAACAACTTTGGTCACTGCAATCCACGGCCGGGAGCAATCGGCCACCGCGTTTCACTCTCCTAACACACAGTCACTACACTTCACAGTGTGTCCCGTGAAGCGCTTTGCGACGTCTCGAAGACGCGATGAGAGGCGCTGTGTGAATTGCAAGGAATATTATTATTATTATTATCTGCAGTATTCTGGGAGGGAAAAAAATGTTGAGTGACACACACACACACAGACACACACACACAGACACACACACATACACAGACACACAGACAGACACAGACACACAGACAGACACAGACACACACACACAGACACACACACAGACACACAGACAGACACAGACACACACACACAGACAGACACACACACACAGACACACACAGACACACACACACACAGACACACAGACACACACAGACACAGACAGACACACACACACAGACAGACACAGACACACACAGACAGACACAGACACACACACACAGACACACACACATACACAGACACACAGACAGACACAGACACACAGACAGACACAGACACACACACACAGACACACACACAGACACACAGACAGACACAGACACACACACACAGACAGACACACACACACAGACACACACAGACACACACACACACACAGACACACACAGACACAGACAGACACACACACACACAGACAGACACAGACACACACACACAGACACATACACAGACACACAGACAGACACAGACACACACACACAGACACAGACAGACACACACACACAGACACACACACACACACACAGACAGACACACACACACAGACACACACAGACACACACACACACAGACACACAGACACACACAGACACACACACACAGACAGACACAGACACACACAGACAGACACAGACACACACAGACAGACACACACAGACACACACAGACAGACACAGACACACACAGACACACACACACAGACACACACAGACAGACACAGACACACACACACAGACACACACACATACACAGACACACAGACAGACACAGACACACACACGCAGACACACAGACAGACACAGACACACAGACAGACACAGACACACACAGACAGACACAGACACACAGACAGACACACACACACAGACAGACACATACACAGACACACAGACAGACACAGACACACACACACAGACAGACACACACACACAGACACACACACACAGACACACAGACACACACACACACAGACACACACAGACACAGACAGACACACACACACAGACAGACACAGACACACACAGACAGACACAGACACACACAGACACAGACAGACACACACAGACACACACAGACACACACAGACACACACACACAGACACACACACACACACAGACACAGACAGACACAGACACACACAGACACACACACATACACAGACACACAGACAGACACAGACACACAGACAGACACAGACACACACACACAGACACACACACATACACAGACACACAGACAGACACAGACACACAGACAGACACAGACACACACACACAGACACACACACATACACAGACACACAGACAGACACAGACACACAGACAGACACAGACACACACAGACAGACACAGACACACACAGACAGACACAGACACAGACAGACACAGACACACAGACAGACACAGACACACACACACACAGACACTCACACACAGACACACACACACACACAGTGACACCTCGGGGGGGGGAAATGGCCGTTGGCGCAGGCGCAGTGCGGGGTGTCGGGGCGCAGGCGCAGTGCGGGCGGGGTGTCAGGGCGCAGGCGCAGTGCGGTGTGTCAGGGCGCAGGCGCAGTGCGGGCGGTGTCGGGGCGCAGGCGCAGTGCGGTGTGTCAGGGCGCAGGCGCAGTGCGGGGTGTCGGGGCGCAGGCGCAGTGCGGGCGGTGTCAGGGCGCAGGCGCGGCTCTCAGTGTGACGGCGTCATGAGCGGCACTGGCGGTGGCGGCGGCGGCGCTCCCCCCGCGGGGCCCGGGCACCTCGCGGCCCTGGTGCTGGCGCGGGGCGGCAGCAAAGGCATTCCCCTAAAGAACATCAAACACCTGTCCGGGCTCCCGCTCATCGGCTGGGTCCTGCGGGCCGCCCGGGACTCGGGGGTGTTTGACAGGTGAGCGGGGGAGGGGCAACGGTGGGGCGGGGCGGCTACTGCCAGCCACCGGGGGGCTACTGCCAGGCACCGGGGGGCTACTGCCAGGCCACCGGGGGGCTACTGCCAGCCACCGGGGGGCTACTGCCAGCCACCGGGGGGCTACTGCCAGCCACCGGGGGGCTACTGCCAGCCACTGGGGGGCTACTGCCAGGCACCGGGGGGGCTACTGCCAGCCACCGGGGGGCTACTGCCAGCCACTGGGGGGGCTACTGCCAGCCACTGGGGGGGGCTACTGCCAGCCACTGGGGGGGGGGCTACTGCCAGCCACTGGGAGGGCTACTGCCAGCCACCGGGGAGGGGGCTACTGCCAGCCACCGGGGGGCTACTGCCAGGCACCGGGGGGCTACTGCCAGCCACTGGGGGGCTACTGCCAGCCACTGGGGGGCTACTGCCAGCCACTGGGGGGCTACTGCCAGCCACTGGGGGGCTACTGCCAGGCACCGGGGGGCTACTGTCAGCCACCGGGGGGCTACTGCCAGGCACCGGGGGGCTACTGCCAGCCACCGGGGGGGCTACTGCCAGCCACTGTGGGGGGCTACTGCCAGGCACCGGGGTCTGTAGCTAGTGCCAGGCACCGGGGTCTGTGGCTAGTGCCAGGCACCGGGGTCTGTGGCTAGTGCCAGGCACCGGGGTCTGTAGCTAGTGCCAGGCACCGGGTCTGTGGCTAGTGCCAGGCGTCTGCAGGGCAGAGCTGGTTCTGGGAGGCGGCTCAGGTCGATCTCGGGCTCAGGGTTCTGGATGAGGCGCTGACACCGAAGCGGAACCGGATTGTAAATCGCAGCTCAATCAGAGGGACTCTCGGTCCAGTCACTGCGTTGGGGTTAACTTTCCGCTTTGTTTGAATGGTTTTAATCTCGTCCACAAGACACACCGTCACTGCACTTTGCAGTGTATCCTGTGAAGCGCTTCGAGACGCCTCAAAGGCGTGATAAGGCGCTATATCGAACGCGAGGATTATTATTATTAGCTTTTTTTTAAAAAAAAAGTCACACTTCCCTCCCTTGGCATCTGACCACAATAACAACAAACAGCAACGGCTTGTGTTTATGTCGCGCCCTTCACGCTGGACCGCGGCCTGGCCTGACCCCCAGGCCGTCAGGAGGGAGTGTGGGGCGGTCACCAAAGGCGCGGGCGAAGCGTTCTTCAGGTGTGATTTGAAGACGGGGAGCGAGGGCGCAGGGGCTGAGGCGAGGAGTTCCACAGATTCGGGACACAGAGGTCGATCTCACCCAAACAGCCTATTTGCCTTGTAAATTTGTTGCCTTGTGCTGTTTTGACATAGTGAGCAATCAATCAACCCAACGCCTGTGGATCTTTTTCAGCTCCCCCCATGGCTATCACCCGGCTCCTTGGCAGGACTTGGAGGGGTAGATCAGGCATTCTTCCCACTTAGCTCCTCTTAACCCTGTAAAGAAAGCCCTAAAGGTGGACATAGTGGTGGGAGGCAGCACCGGTCCCATTCCATGCCCTGTGCTCCCCAAGCTGTGGCTCTTGCCAATCTGTGTCTTAATATTTTCTGGAATTAAGTAAGTACAACAACAGCCACTTGCATTTATGTAGCAGCGAGCGTCCCTCTGGGGAGAGAGTGAGCAGTCCACTCCAGACGGGGGAATATCCGTGTGTAAATAATACGTGGAACTCTCTCTGATTTTGAGTATGATGATGGTTATCCTCGACAGACACACACACACACTTGACAGTAATTACAGTACTTGTGAAGCTCGTGGAGTGTTAAAGGTTTCATTCCAGGGCCTCAAACAAATATTTAAATATGAAAGTGGGTGTAGGGAGAATTATGAAATGCTTGAGGTTTTTTGTTCCGAGGTGGAACGCCTGCAAATCTTTAGGATGCATTGAACAATGTTTGCTTATAAGGCTGAGCACTTTATTTGATAACGATTTGTGTATCATTTTTATAGCACAAAGGGAGATAAGAATCAACCTTTAGAATACCACCTGTTTCCACCAGGATATTGTGCAACTGAAAGCAGTATTAAATGACGTGACAGCTGAATAAATACCTTCAATAATTGAATGTGTGAAAATGCCTACAAACAAGGAAACAAAATCCTCAATGTTCTGCTGTTGTATTTCCAGAATCCTTCGACCTTCACTTCTCCCCCACACCCCCACACAGCAGCTCCCTTTCTCTTCCTACCCCTGTGGGAAACCTGCTCATCCAGAAGCTCAAAGTATCCCTGTCCTGTAAACCGATCCTAGGCTTCAGATAACCTGCAAACTACTTTTTAATAATAATCCTTTTATTTGATGCAGCGCCTTATCACATCTTCGAGACGTCTTAAAGCGCTTCATGGAATATTATGTAAAGTGAATTTTACTGCATATTTTGTGGACGAAACGCAGCAGCCAATCGCACGCAGCAGCCAATCGCACACAGCAGCGTCCCACAAACTGGTGGATTGAAGTGACCAATTTATTATTACTTTTTTTTGAAGGAATTATTATCCCCGGAAAAGCGATCCACCAATCGAGTAACAACTGGGTTCCTACTTACTGCTGGGCAAACAGTGGTGTGTGGAGTAAGGAAACTTGCCCAACATTTTGCCCTACCCAGGAATACAACCCAGGTCCTCTCGCTTGCGAGGCGAGTGCTCTAACCACTGAGCTACAGGACTCCACCTTTAGGGAAGGGTATTAACACTGAATGTTTGGTATTCCAGTGCACCTCCAAGATAGATAAGGACAGCGACTGTTCTGAGGGTCTCCTACCACTGCTCTGCAAGCTACATGTGCCAAAGCATTCCTTGTCCTGATGGACCTTGTGCCTGAAAAAGTTTGGTTTATCTTCCACCTTATTTTTTCCTAGACAAACTTGATCTTATGCCCCTCTAGTTATACATTTACCAAGGACCGTGAATTGCCTTTCGCTATCTATGTTCCTGACATTTCTTGTAATCGTGTAAAAGTTAAGTAGTAAATGAAAATGTATGCTTCGTAAAGAAACTGACATGCCACTCAATTTGGGTTTTGTGGGAACAAAATAACATTTTGCTTACAAGTATTTTGTCTTTTCCCCAGTGTATGGGTATCAACAGACCATGATGAGATTGAACAGGTGGCCATAAAATGTGGAGCTAAAGTCCACCGAAGAAGCCCTCAAGTGTCAAAGGATGTAACTAGTTCATTGGACACTGTGGCCGAATTTCTAAAGCATCATGAAGGTAATTCAGAATAACATCAGAAGCTCTGACTAGTCTGGTTTGTTTTGTTTGTGTGTTCATTACTTTTTGGGCTGGTATTAATGTCAACCAAAGATCACAAAGGCGTGGTTTAAATGGGTTAAAAAATGAATTTCGGGAGAAAAAAGTTACTGAGAAGCAAAGAGAAAATCTTGAAAGCAGTTTTTGTATACCAATTATATAATTATATATCGTCAGCACAAATGAACTACTCATTGAAATGACTGTTGGATGCATCTTAAGATCTGAATCTCATTCCTTCTACAGTAAATCTCTCTGCTCTTGTTTTTGAATGTAGAAGTCGATTTTGTAGCCAACATACAGGGCACATCTCCCTGTCTACACCCACATCATCTGCAAGATGTAGTGAAGATGATTAAGAAAGAGAAGTATGATTCTGTCTTTTCTGTAGTAAGACGCCATCAGTTTCGTTGGCTGGAGGTGAAGAAAGGTAGGCATGTGTACAACTTAGTAAGGCAATTGACTGTTGTATTGTTATACCTAGAGACAATATATTGAGTCAACTTTGAAACTTTCCTCCCCAACCCCAGCCCCACCCCCAAAAAATGTTGGTTGTGCTGATCAAAATAACAAACCATTAATGATTCAGTTACTGGAAGCTAATGGTTAGAACAATTCACTTGGGACAGACCACTTGATGGGATAAAAGACTATTATTGGCTGCTATTATTAATGCTCACTGAACTACGCCTGGAAAAATCTTTATTTGTTTGTAATGGTTGCTGAGTCACAGCACAAAACTATCAAGGCACATCTTGAGTCAAAGAAGTCTAAACAAATTACAGCACAGGATGAGGTCATTCAGCCCATCAGGCCAATGCTGTTTCTTACCACAAGCTACTGAGTCCCGTTTCCCTGCTTTCTCCCCAAACCTGTTTATCCTTTGCAGATAGTCACGTTAATTCTTTTTTTTTTCAATTCAACACATACCAGTAGTCCCCTTTTTTAACAGGAGAATCAACGGAGCCATTGAACTTCAATCCAGCAAAAAGGCCACGGAGACAAGATTGGAATGGAGAACTGTATGAGAATGGATCGTTTTATTTTGCTACGAGGAAGTTAGTGGAGGATGGCAACATGCAGGTAACTAAAGAATGTTGATTTGGGTTAGCTTGTGAAATGATTATTGCACAATACATTTACACACACAATATAAAATTACATTTGTAAAGCGCCTCTCACGTCGGGAGGATGTTCCCGGGAAGGCGCTGGATAGTCAGGGATTTGGACCCAAGCTGAGGGTTGGGAATCAGGAGGGGTGGAGGGTAGGGGTAGGAGGGTGGCTGAAGGCATGGTTGAAGGAGGCAAAGGAGAGAGCAAGTTGAAGTGACTGGGATGGAGTTCCGAAGTGTGGGGGCAGAGAAGCTGAAGGCCCGACCGGGGACGGTGGGGCGGGCCGGGCGGGATGTGGAACAGGCCATAGCGGAAGGAACATGTCATCAATAAAGACCTAGAGATACAAACATGCCCTCACCTCCTAGAGGATAGAATCAGACAAGTACCTTGCTGCTTAGTCATTAACAATAAACTCCATAATTGAAGTTAAGGAAGTAGCAAATTTGTCCTGATAATAGAATTTTGCAGCAGAGGTTTTGGATCATACTGTTCAGGCAAGTTTGGGAGGGTTGGGCAAGGTTGGGCAAATTTCCTTACTCCACATGCCTCTGTTTACTTCGCAGTAAGTAGGTTGTTAGTCGATTGCGGATTGCTTTTCTGGGGATAATAATAATCTGGTCACTCATTCCATGACTGTTTGTGGGACGCTGCTGTGTGCAATTGGCCGCCGTGTTTCTCCCACAAAATATAGTCAAGTCAGTTTACACTATATTCTGTGAAGCGCTTTGAGACGTCTCGAAGATGTGATAAGGCGCTATATCAGATGCAAGCATTATTATTATTATAAATGTGCCTTTTTCTCCCCCGTCCCCTACTACCTAATACCCCTTTAAAATTCAGCACCTTAATACAGTTTAACCACCATAAATAAACATTTTGCACATGTTCACATATAAAAAAGTGATTTATATTGTTAAAAGAAACACTTGGGTAGTCAGTACAGTACCTATTTAAAAAAACCGTTCTCATACATGTATTACATATCACATACATGTGGGTATGTATGTGTATCTTTGTTTAAAGGTTCTTATATAAGGTTCTTATCTCTTCATGATCTGCTTTCCTTTCTCCCTAGGGTGGGAAAATTACTTACTATGAAATGGCACCAGAATATAGTGTGGATATAGATGTTGATATTGACTGGCCCATTGCAGAGCAGAGAATACGCAGGTAAGTTAATTATTTTTGTGTGCGTGTGAGTTAAAGTTACCTGATCTTTCTCTACATCAAAATAACTCTTGAGAAATGGTGGATCCAATCTGTAAGTATCTGTTCTCTTCAGATGATTAATTGGCAGAAGTTTTTGAGACAGAAGCGTTCAATACAAACCAGATTACAAAGGAAGTTCTCACATTTCTAACCATTTATTTCATGTGAAAGGCATAATATTGCAATAAGCAGCATTCTCTCCCGTTCGTTCAACCAGGTAAGAATGCTTCCATCCCATGAGGAAAGTCAGATAATCTCTTTCCCCATCGGTGTTTGTTCTGAGCCCCCTTCACCGAATCCATTATTTCTCAGCAACGGTAGAAATCGTTTATTGTGTGTCTGTTTTGCTCCAATTTGATATTTTTTGCATTATTACCGAGATTGTGCTCGAGGAAACCTGATTCCACGTCACACTGGCTATTTAGACTCTGTGTACCTATAAAATTGCAGGAAGTACAGTGCTTACAGTTGTGCAATAGCTACATGACACATGTTGAACATTTTAGGCAGGTGTAAAGTAAAATGATAGGTGCAAATTTGTAATTGAATGTGGCAATGGTAGTTAATTGCATTTCTATGAAATATGAAGGCTTTCTACTGCAACTAATCTTAGCTTCTTCCTTCTGTCTGTTCATATCTTTATTCTGAACGATTTTTGTCTTTCCTCATAGCTATGGTTACTTTGGCAAGCTGGAAGAGATAAAGCTGGTGCTGATAAACACTGATGAATACGATCCCAAGAATAAACAAGATGCCCTCGGAATCAAAATGCTGGAGGACAATGGCACTCAGGTCAGAATTCACTTGCTACATCTTGTCCTGTGTGTCTGTGCACTGTCCATTCCTGGTTGACAGGATTCGAGCACCGGCAGGAAAAAGAAAAGCAAAAACAACTAAACCGAACAGCAAAAGGAAGTGCTTATCTCTTTACAATGCTCAATAAAATTGCCACTTTTTTTGATTAAACTTGTTGCTCTCAAGCAGAAACAACTTAAGTTAAAAAGAACCCGGGTTCACCTCATTTTTGAAGGGCACTGCGTTTTACATAATATCCCTTGAAGCGCTTTGAGACACCTTATTGATGTGGAATCAATATGTAAGGATTAACCATTGTTTAATTGTAAGTTTCCTAGATGAGGTCATGTTTATTTGCTGTATGGGTTTCAGGTGAAGTCAATCTCGGGTGTGGATTCTACAGTCCAGTCAATTTCAACCAAGACATGTGAGGTGGGAAAAAATGGACAGGAATCACAGGAAAAGGTCGAAGCTGTGATGAATAGGATGAACATCACGTGGAAGCAGGTGGCTTACCTTGGTAAGTGACATGACGAGAATCGGAACGAGTTTCGCCCTTCGAGTGCCTTGGGACATCTTCCTGACGTGAAAGGCACTGTACAAATGTAATTTGGTGGTGGTGGTGTGGCTCCCTGCTCCTATCCACTTCACCATCAGTGGATGGACTCTCTGAAATTCCAGCCCTCTGATTTGCTCCCTCCCTCACTTCAGTCAAGGACCGGCTCAAGACGTCTCTGATTGCACTTCCAGCTTTCCCTTCCCCACCCCCCCCAGCCAACAGCGATAAGTGCTTTGCGATGTCCTCTCGACATGACAACATGTTGGGTGTGAGCAGATTGGAGAGGTAGAGAGGTTCAATAAGGAGGCCCCAGAGAATTGATGGAATTATAGGTGAAATATTCAAAATATTTTGTGTAAAATGGTTTAAATTTACAGCAACACCCTGAATTTAATTTTTTAAACGTTCCCTTCAACCCACTCCCCCCCCCCCCACCCCCCCACACCATCTGACAGGATCGAAAAAAACTGACATCGAGTATCTGAAGATGGCAGGAATCAGTGGAGCATTTCACAACGTGTGCAAAGATGTCGAAAGGGAGGTGACGTATCTTTGCAAGTGCGACGAAGGAAAAGGAGCGATTCAGGAGTTTTCTGAATATGTACTGCTGCTGTCAAAAAAAGCCACATCTCCAAACTACAAGTGAAATGATCTGAAAAGGTTCGGCGGCAGGACTAAGCTTGGTGGAGGTGGACTTCAAATTGCGAAGGAAATAATTCTTGTCGGTGGAAGATTTCTGCCCTGCGCTGCTTTATGTGATTGGGTTGTGTGAAATGAAACTTCTCTGAACTTTAATGCACTCTTGTCTGTTCAAGTCACAATGAAGTCTGTCATTCAAGTCTATGATTATGTTCAAAAACGTTAGCATCAAAGGAAACACTAGTCGTCTCTGTTGTGGAATGAGTAAAACAGTCTTGCACTGAAAAGCCCTTATTATTTTCGTACAATACTGTTGAAGTTAAATAATTAGGTTACGTTCACAAATTAAACCGTAAAATTTATGGTTTAATTTGCTACCTTCTGATGGCTTGAGTTTTGTAAACGTGGTAACTCAATTTTTTTCTAACAATGATTTTAGGTGTAAAAATACTCCATAGGAATGTAACTTCGTCAAATCCATTATTACAATTATCAACGGTAATGAAATAAATAACTGAATATTTATGCAAAACTTGTGTTTCTGTAGTTTCGTTTCTTTTCCAGATCATAGCCTGAACCATCTGATCATATCATTTATAAATTCTATCACTCCTGGGCTCAGTGTAATATTGGACTAGGAAACCTCACTCTCGTTTTGCTCAGGGTTTTACTCATGAGTTTATCAGTTGGCAAAAGGCAAAATACTGCAGATGCTGGAAATGTGAAATAAAAACCGAGTCGCTGGACTTCGATAAAAACAGAACACTCAGCGGGGCAGGCAGCATCTTTGGAGAGAGGAAAGCGAGTTAACATTTCAGGTCGATTTGAGTTTTCACAAAAGCCGTGATAAGGCGCTATATCAAATGCAAAGATTATTATTACAACACTTTCAGACTCTTCGTAAACCGGTTTGAAATGCTGTCGTGGACATATCCACTATTGAGATTAACTTTGTGATACTAGTTGAATCGGCTCCTAGTAAATGGTTTAGAACATTCAAATTTGTCAACAAGATTAAACCTAAAGTTAACACAAATAAAGCACTTGATTGACCATGTGTGAATGTGGCTATTGTATTTAGGTTGAGTCTTGTCATAGCCATAAGATGGAGAACCTGGGAACCCAGCAACGCAAACGATGCTTTCACCTCATTCAGATAAACAGCACTTAATGTATTCCTCTCTGAGTAACAAAGATTGTGGAGAAATAGCTAATGTGGTAAAAGGCTGAACAGCTGAAGGGTGTCTTTAATTGCAATTCATATTTATAACATGTTGCCCCACAAGATGGTGCTATTACAATGGAAGAGATTCTGTGAGCTTTTATTTGACTTTGATGGTCTTTGGGAGGTAGAATGGGAAGAGAGATTTAGCTTTACAGGTATTAAATATGAATCTCTACGTATTCACTACATACCTCTTGGTACCTATTGAGTGCCTCTGGTTAGAAACGTTGAAACAGAAATCTGCGGTGCAGAAGGAGGCCATTTGGCCATCAAACTCCACACCGGCTCACAGAGCAACGAGATCAATCAATCCCACTGCCCCACCTTGTCCCTTCATGCCTGTCTAATTCCCCCTTTCTGAAGGATAGAGGGATTAAGGGATATGGCAATAGGGCGGGTAAATGGAATCAGATTAGAAGATCAGCCACGATCTTATTAAATGGCGGGGAAAGCTCGAGGGGACGAATGGCCTACTCCTGCTTCTACGTCTTATGGTGTTATGGTCTTTGAAAGCTACAATGGACTCCACCTCCTCCATTATATCCAACACTTTGGATGAAAAAAAATTCCTCCTAAGTTCGTCTTTCGCTGTTTTTGTGGCTCTCATCACCTGGGCCAATAGAAATTCACAGGCGCAATTTTTTCACGGAGTTCACTAAAACCAACACTCCACGGAAACAACTCCTTTCCCTCCCGGAAGGGGTTAGGATGTTGCAGAGGTCGGGGAGAGCAAGGCTATGGAGGGTTTGGAAGGTGAGGACCAGGATCTTGAACTGTATCCTCTGTGTGATGGGAAGCCAGGGAAGTCGGGTGAGGTTGGGGGTGATAGGGTCACGGAGCCTGATGCGGGAGAGGATGCGAGCTGCGGAGTTCTGGAGGCTGCAGAGTCCTGAGGTGAGGAGGTGCTGACGGGAGTCTATCAGGACTTGTTGATGTTCAACTGTAGAAAGTTCGCTCTCATCCAGGACTTGATGTCTGACAAGACATTCTGTCAGGACAGCAGTGGGTCCTGGAGTCGAGGGTGGAGACAGAGAGATAGAGTTGTCATCTGCATACATGTGGAGTCCTGTAGCTCAGTGGTTAGAGCACTCACTTTGCAAGTGAGAGACCTGAGTTCAATTCCAGGCAGAGGGCGAAACCTTGGGCAAGTTTCCTTACTCCACACAGAGCCTAATAATAATCCCTCCAAAAACCAAACCAATAATAATAAATTGGTCATTTTCAATCCACGACTGTTTGTGGGACATTGCTGTGCGCAATTGGCTGCCACGTTCGCCCACAAATATACAGTCAATTCACTTTATAATGTGTTCTGTGAAGCGCTTTGGGACGTCCTCCCGACGTGAAAAGCGCTATATCAAATGCAAGGATTATTATTAATATTATTATGTGGAAGTTGAATTCATTGATGCTAATTCTGTGCAGGAATACCTCAATTTTTAAACAATGTGAACAGCACGTGATGTCCTTACATACCTGTGAATTGTCAATCTATTGCTAAGCAGGTGGAATTTCAATTACAATTTTTGCAATGCGTCCCAGTACATAGAAATGCTAATAAGAGAGAGCAGTGTTATTCAATCCAGTTATGGACAATGAGCCAGAGCAGGTTAGGAATTTAAATGTGGAGAATTAACTCATGGGGAGTGATCAAATAATAATAAGGTTCACAATCATGATAAAGAAGGAGATAAACGAGCTATGTACCGAGGTCTTTCATTGGAAACATGTTAATTACAACGGTTCGAGGAGTGAACTCGCTGAGGTAGATTAGAGGCAAAAATTGGCAAATAAAGATATTGAGCAACAATGGAAGATTTTGTAACGTGAGATAGAGAAGGATAGAAATTAGAGAAAAGGTTAAGGAGGGTGGCTAAAGCAGCAATGAAAAGAGTACAGTGTAGGTTTACTACGATGATACCAGATAGCTGCTATCAGGATAGATTGCATAGCTTGGGCCTTTTATTGTTAGAGAGGAGACGATTAAGAGATGACCTAATAGAGGTGATAAAGATTGGGTGCATTAAGATTAATATAAATATAAATATTAGTATAAATATGTTGTTCCCATTTGTTGATGAGTCTGTAATCAAGGGTCACAAGTATAAGGTAATGAGTAGGGAATCTAAAAGAGAATTTAATAATAATAATAATAATTTAGGAGGAATTACTCCATGCAAAATGGTGGTTCATGTAGATATACTGATATACACATTTTACCGATTATTTTAGTGACTACTTCCTTAAATGTTTGGCAAACGCCAAATATAGATTTATTATATATCTTCAATTTATTATATAATTTATCAAATGATATAGATGAATATAATAGGACGCTCAATCTACACATGAGGGAGAAGGGATTGAATGGTATGGGAGGTAAAGTCTCACATGGAGTATAAACACCCGCACAGACTAATTGCGCCAAATGGCCTGTTCCTGTGCTGTACAATCCATCCTTCAGATGAGATGTTAAACCCAGATCCCATCGTCTTGTTTTCGGAGGATGTTGAAGATCCCATGGCCCTATTGGAAAAGAGAAGGGAGTTTTTCCTGGTGTCCTAGCCAACAATCCCCCAAATTAAAATAAAACATGAGTCACTCATTCCGTGACTGTTTGTGGGACACTGCTGTGCGCAATTGGCCGCCGCGTTTTATCCACAAAATACGCAGTCAATCCACTTTAGAGTATATTCTGTGAAGCACTTTGAGACGTCTCAACTACATGATAAGGGTGTTATTATCAAATTATTATTATCTATAATAAACTATGTACTAACTGAAAAAGCAAGATTACTTTAACTGATTCGGAAGTGCTCTACTATGTTACATCTGTATGATTTCACTAATAAAACAGGAAAAGGTTAAATTTGCTGCGTACATAAAAAGCCATGCAGTAACATGCTCTATCAGGGCCTATACCTTTCTCTTCCAAATACATGTTCTCATCCTCACAACTCCCTGATCCCCAAAGTTAAATAAGCAAAACCCCAGAATATTCAGCCTTCCCCATATTGCCAGATTTAATATGTGGGGGCTGTAGTTTATTTTTAGAGCATTAATTTCTCTATTTCTACTGTTTTCCTAATTTCAAAGCTTGCACTGAAAAAAATGTTCAATGCAACAAGGTTTATATTTGCAGGAACCCACATAGAAAATGTAGATGGGGACAGAAATGTGTGCCTGAAAGCGAGTTGCTGGGTTGTGACACATCTGCTCTGGGTGTCAGTCTCGCCTGGATTAATGGGTTTTTCGTTATTTGATCAATAAACAGGATTAGCAATTGCTCTGCATTTGCCAGACATTTAAGCGAGTGGTCACTAAATTAATCAGTGAGATGAGTCTTTGCCAATATTTGTCAATAGTTTTTCTGTCTTGGGATCAATAACTCAGGTGTTGGGGAATTCCAGGAATTATTGCTACCCAGAGATTTGTAAGGAACTATTATAGCATATGATATATTACATTTGGATTACATGAACGTTATGATAAAAGCATTGTACATGTAAAAGGTCAAAGCTCTGTGCCAACAATGAACATTTCTTAGAATATTGTCAGGGTGGCAGAGTGAAATGTTCCATTAACATCACATCTGTTGAGTTAGACACCTAATATTGCGTTTTTCTATTTCCATTTCCTTTTGCGAACTGATCCCCTCTGGGGTACAGCAACTTAATATCTCACTTACATATCAGTGATGGGGAATTCCAGAAGTTATTGCTATCTTATTACTATCGTAGCTGAACACTATCCTTTCTCTGCTCAATGTCCACTTGTACCTTCCTGCATTACTGAAGAAAAATCCTTACATTTCATATAGTGAAGGAGGAAGTCTTCAAACGCGTTTTACTGTATGTTTTAATAACGGTGCATTTTCACACACTGCTACATTGCTGCGATTGCATCTTGTAGGCGAACGTGGCAGTCAAGTTGCACAATGCAGTTGTCTTGCAAACAATCATACATTGTTCAGAAAGGTTTGCCTGTTCCTGGCCAAAGGCTATTTAAGACAATGGTTTGCTATTGGTGTTTGGCAGAGATTATCTAACCCAGCACAAAATAGAAATCTAAACACGACCTTTCTAGTTTATGGGGATTAAACTGCATTAGGCAGTCCATTTAATAATAATAATGATAATAATAATCTTTGCATTTGATATAGCGCCTTATCACGTCTTCTAAACCTCTCAAAGCGCTTCACAGCACATACTGTAAAGTGAATTGACAGTATATTTGTGGATGAAACGCAGCAGCTAATTGGGTACAGCAGCGTCCCACAAGCAGTCGTGGATTGAAGTGACCAACTTATTATTTTCTTGAGGGATTATTATCAGGCGTGTGGAGTAAGGAAACTTGCCCAACAATTCTCCCTGCCGGGAATCGAACCCGGGTCTCTTGATTGCAGGGTGAGTGCTCTAACCACTGAGCTACAGGACTCCATTTACCTCCACACTAACTTGCATTGTTATAAACACTACATAGTTTAACATAAAACTTTATAATGTCCACCATAAACATTTCTGTGCAACATTATAAACTTTGCAACGTCTCTAATTCACCCTGAATTTATTGTGGCCAACAATTCACATCATAAACACTTGCACCATATCCGATTGTGGGACCTGGCTGTGCGCAAATTGGCTGCCAAATTCTTCTCCTATATATACCACTACACTTTACCCAGTAATAATAATCCTTATGCATTTGATACAGCGCCTTAACAGCATTTGAGACATCTCAAAGCGCTTCACAGAATATACTGTAAAGTGAATTGACTATATTTTGTGGGCAAATGCGGCAGCTGAATGAGCACAGCAGCGTCCCACAAACGGTCGTGGATTGAGTGACCAAATTCTTCTTATTATTTCTTTATTTTTGAATGGATTATTACCCCCGGAAAAGTGATCTGACAATTGACTAACAACCGGGTTCCTACTTACTGCTGGGTACAGAGAGGTGTGGAGTAAGGAAACTTGCCCAACATTTTGCTCTGCCCAGGAATCGAACCCAGGTCCTCTCGCTTGTGAGGTGAGTGCTCTAACCGCTATGTTACAGGACTCCACCACTCTAGTATATGAAGCGCTTGAGGTATCTTACTGAAGTGAAAGGTGATATACAAATGGAATGATAATTATTATTATCATCAGACTGTGTTGTGCAGCATATTACAGCAGTTCTTTGTTTGCCATAAACAGTTTAATCAATTTCAATGCAATTTACAAAGGGCTATAAAAGGCTCTATTTTGCTTTCAGGTACTTTTGAAAGTTGGATAAACTTAGTACCTTTGAATGTTCTGGTGGGGCCAGACCTGAAAAGCTCTGGTCACTTTGACCTAATGAGTCAATGAAACAGAATGTAATTAGGCTGAAATCCAGTGTTTTACAGGAATGAGCTTTGAGAAATGATTATACCATCTGACCATCTGTGACCAGGGCTCCCTCTGCCTCCTCGTCCTCCTCGACCTATCGGCAGCATTCGATACGGTCGACCACGCTATCCTACTCCACCGCTTGTCCTCCCACCTCAACCTTCAAGGCACTGTCCTTGAGTGGTTTAGGTCGTACCTTTCTCACCGTCTTCACTTTGTCTCGACAAATGGCTTCTCCTCCACCCCCCGTACTGTCTCATGTGGTGTCCCTCAGGGCTCTGTCCTCGGTCCCCTCCTCTTCACCCTCTATATGCTCCCCCTGTGGTGACATCATCCGCAGACATGGAGTTAACTTCCACATGTATGCGGATGACACCCAACTCTACCTTTCCTCCTTTACTCTCAACTCCACGACCACCGATGTCCTGACAGCTGCCTGTCCGACATCGAGTCCTGGACGAGAGACAACTTTCTTCAGCTCAACGTGCGCAAACTGAGGCCCTCCTGATTGGCTCACGTCAGCGCCTCCGCACCTCAGGCGCTGACACCATCAGCATCCAAGGCTGCACTCTCCACCTCTCAAAGCCAGTCAGGAACCTCGGCGTTTTGTTCGACCCTGAGCTGTCCTTTCTCCCTCACATCCGCACCACAACTGGCACCGCCTTCCATCACCTCCGGAACATCGCCAGACTACGGCACTACCTCACCCCTCACGCGGCTGAAACCCTGGTCCACGCCTTTGTCACCTCAAGGCTGGACTATGGGAACTCTCTCCTCGCCGGCCTTCCCGCCACCTCCCTCCACAAGCTGCAGGTCATTCAGAACTCTGCAGCTCGTGTACTGTCCCGCACCAGACACCGCGACCACATCACTCCCACCCTCACCCTCGCCCTCGCTCGCCTCCACTGGCTCCCCATCCCCCAGAGGATTGATTTCAAGATCCTCATCCTCACCTACAAGGCCATTCACGGCCTCACTCCCTCCTACCTCTCCAACCTACTATCCCCCTCCCTATCCGCCCGTAACCTCCGTTCCTCTGGCTCCGGTCTGCTCCACGTCCCCCGCCCCAACCGCCCTACTATCGGTGGTCGGGCCTTCAGCCTCTCAGCCCCGAGGCTCTGGAACTCTATCCCCAGTGCCTTCGCCGCTTCCTCCCTCTCCTCCTTCAAGGCCGGTCTCAAAACCTTTCTCTTTGACCGAGCCTTCAGCTCCCCTCTCGACTCTCTTCCCCCTCCTCGCTCCCACCCTTCCCTCCCCTCACCCTGACCATTTCCCCCCTCCTTGCTCCCTCCCTTCCCCTGACCATTTCCCCCCAATGCTCGGGTCATGACCCAACTGTGCAGCGCCTTGGGACGTCCTCCTGACGTGAAAGGCGCTTTATAAATGGAATCTTGTTGTTGTTGTATACAAATTCAAGCTCTTTGGACTCAAAAAAAAGTATCTTAGAAAAGTATTGTATTTCAGTATATATGTAACAAGGCAAGAAAGTAAATCATCAATAACAAATATATACTGCAAGGCAAGAGCACATAGGTTTAATGTTTATATGTTTAAGAACTCATTAGAGAAAGGGATTGTGACAATGTAATACCTATTTTAAAAAGAGTGACACAGCTATTTAATAATAATAATAATCCTTGCATTTGATATAGCGCTTTTCACATCTTATCGACGTCTCAAAGCGCTTCACAGAATAGACTGTAATGTTCCATGTGGGGGTTTAAAAACAACAGGCACTTCTCCTTGTCTATCAACACATCCACCCAACAGGTAGCAGGTGAATGGCTATGAGGAGGAGGAGTGACGCTTCCAGCCGTTGCCGGGTGATGTGCCGTTTGTCGATTAGCAGTTTATGTACTTGCTCCAATCTTGCTTCTGACAGTATTTGCACCTACCCTCCCTAAAGCCTGCATACCCACCCATGGAGTTAATCCTTCCCACTGCACAATGCCCACGCATTGCTTCATTGCTGTCAATGAAAGCTATGTGGTTTTAGCTGATCTCCAAGCCTTGGCTCTTGCCAAACTGCACCTAATACTTGCCAGAAGCAGGTAAGCAGGATGTCGTTTGGAGACTCTTAAGCAACGGTGATGGGTTTCCGCATGTGTCAGACATCCGGCTGAGTAAAAATGAATCATTGAAAGAGATAATGAAATTGTTTCTCATTATTATTTTAATTGTAGTAAATGTAAGAAGTAAAACACTGATCGCAGAACCATTCAACAATATAATACACTTAACATTGGCATGATGAACTAGTTGACCGCAAAATATTACAATGACTTAATTGTAACCAAAAGTCATACAACTTGCTCTAGTTTTTAAAGCATAAGAGATAAGTGCACATATAAAAAACTGCTGGTAGCTTGACCCTGGCTTAACTTGTCACTACCACTTAAGTCATCACTCTGTCAATATTCAACCACATTTATTAATGTATATATACATATGCCTAACACGTCGTTCATAAGAACATAGGAATTTGCTCAACAACAACAACAACAACTTGCTTATATATATAGTGCCCTTCACACCAGATAGCATCTTGAAGTACTCCTCTGGCTCCTGTGAAAGATTTTTCTTCTTTTCATTTCCGGAACGACCTTTGATGTTAATTCTCATATTCAATACATTTCATTAGTTGACTTGAATTCATTTTCTCCTCAATCTGCGCATCAAATATTTTAGTTTGCTTTGTGCTGAAATGGTTCTTCCAATCACCAACGGTGCCTGAAGGTGATAAATGTATCAGTTAGATGGTAACGTGTCATAGCCTCATAGAATCATGGAAATTTGCTGCACAGAAAGAGACCATTTGGCCCATCAAGTCTGTACCAGCTCTCAGAGCAAGATGTTCATTCAATCCTACTGCTTTATCCTATCCTTCCGCGCCTCTATCTTTCATATAACTGTGAACTTCCCTCTATAACCCACAATGGATTCTACCTCTACCACCTGACTTGGCAGGGCACTCCACGTCCCAACAGCTCTCGGAATGAAAATAAATTTGCCTAAACCCTCTTCTTGTGACTATCTTATAATTATTAATCCAAATTATCCGTAATTATCCATTCAAATTTTCACGACTGAGGTGGGTAGATGTTCGTTAGGTCAGGGTATCGAAGGATATGGGGCAAAGGCCGGTATTTGGAATTGAGGTACAGATCAGCCATGATAATAATAATAATGATAATAATAATAATAATAATAATAATAATAATAATAATAATAATGATAATAATAATAATAATCCTTGCATTTGATATAGTGCTTTTCACATCTTCTGGACGTCTCAAAGGGCTTCACAGAATAGACTGTAAAGTGAATTGACTGTATATTTGTGGGCGAAACGCAGCGGCCAATTGCACACAGCAATGTCCCACAAACAGTTGTTTATTATGATCTAATAGAATGCCGGAAAGTACAGGCTTGAGGGGCTGAATTGCCTACTCCGGGTCCTATGTTCCTAATTATGGTTCTGAGTCACTGTTCCTTACCAACCAGTGGAAATAACGTCTCACTATTGACCATGTCAAAACCCCTCACAATTTTGTTCACATCCAACAGGTCTCCCCGCAATCTTCTCAGCTACAATGAAAACAAACCCAATTTCTTCAATCTCTTCTCGTAGCTAAAGTCCCTCATCCCTGGAATCATTCTTCTGGCTCCTCTGTACCCACTCCCAGGCTTTGACATCTTTCTGAGGTGCCCAAAACTGAATACAATATTCCAGCTGTGGCCTAAATAATGATTTGTAAAACTTGGCATGACTATTTTCCTTTTGTACTCTGTGTCCCATATATACAAGAAACTGCCCTTCAATATTCGCTAATTTTATCGATAGAGAAACTCAATGTGTACATGAGGGAATAGCGGGATATTAGGAGGGAGATAGGGAGAGGAGTTTAGGAGGGTGGAATTACAAGAGTATAAACTAATTGAGCCAAATGAACTATCTCAGTTCTCCTTGCGTTATACTAGTTAAGTGATTCATTACTCAAGGAATACTTTGGTTGGCACAGGATGTTGGCACACTTTAAAGTGACACTCAACCTGATTAATGTACAAAACAACACAAAAATACATTTGTAAAGGGTCTGTCATGTTGGAGGAAGTCCTAAATCATTGAACAGTCAGAGATTAGGGATTAATATGTAACATATTAACAACTCAAAATAAATCCTGTCCACCCACACCTAATTAATAGTGGAACATGCTCCACAACTTACTATTGTGTCCCTACTATTGCAGTGTTGCTTAACAAAGTTCTTCCTAAGGTTGTTTTGCAATCGGAAGTGGAAAAAGAATTGACATTCATTTATTATACTAATACAGTCAACATGTGTCACCAGCTATATTTGTGGAAGAAAAAGAATTGACATTCATTTATTATACTAATACAGTCAACATGTGTCACCAGCTATATTTGTGGAAGAAAAAGAATTGACATTCATTTATTATACTAATACAGTCAACATGTGTCACCAGCTATATTTGTGGAACAGACATACCTTTTCGAAATATCAATTGTTTGTTGGATGTCAGAGCACAAACAGTGTTATTTGGATTGATGTTTTCTTTCTGTGCCTGTTCCTTCATCTCACTGAAGGAAGATTTCATAGCAATTTCATGTATTTTTTCAGGAGTCAGGTTTACACCCAGAAAGTTGCTGAGCTGCTCAATGCTCCTGGTCGCATCCTACAAAATATTCACAAGGACAACAGTCTCTTTATTAAAACAGTTTTCACCATGAAAGCGAAAGGACCTGGTCTGTAAAGCCATTTCATTTGATTATTTAAAATTCTTAAATTCCATCTTAATTTGGAAGCCAGTTCCCTTGACGAACTCTGGAAAATATTTTTTCCCCCCACAATCCACACAATCTTAAATTTTAAGACAAAGTATTCCTGCGGGCTATTGCCAGGGGCAATTTAGGGCATCAGCATTAAAATTTGAATGGATAAGCGAGAGGGCTCTGGGGTTAGCCTGCAAGACTATTTTTGTCTCAAAATTTAAGATTGTGCAGGTTGGGGGGGGGGGGGGGGGGGGCGGGGAAATGTTTTTCTACAGTTCTTAAAGAGAATCGTAGAAAAGATTAGGGATTAGGATGGAATTTAAGAATTTTCCGCCATTCCGTAGAATTTTAAATATTCAGTTGAAATGGCTTTACACACATCAAGACCGTGTGAAATTTCCGGTGTGCACAGCAGTGTCCCACAAACCGTTGCTTGTTGTGTTGCACTGTTACAGAGCTAGCAAAAGAACGTTCAGAAACAACCAACCTTCTTCATGGCTTCGTAGTACAGGATGAGAACATTGTCGTCATTTTTGTGGTCTTCCCAGCTGTGAATGTGATCAAACCACGAGCCACAAACAACTGCAATAGAAAAGAATGGTTGTTCAGTCATCTGTAAATGAGATTTCCGGCCTTTGTAATATTTCTAGTTTTGTTTTTTCCTTTTCCTTTCATTTTCAGCAAATATACAGTTATCACATTACGTACCATATATTTTTCCCCTTTATGTTTTGGTAGCACATTGAGACTATAATGCAATGAGGTGGATTATTTCGAAGTGTAAAAACTATCTGTTTCAGCTGTCATGAGTATATTTTTCTTAAGCGAACTGTACTGAAAATTTGACCAAATAACTGTGTCTAAATTGAAGTTGTAAATCTCACCTTCTCCTCTCAGGAACATTTCCAAAAAGGTGGTCCATTTGTCAATGGTTGGCAGGTTGGGATTATCTTTGTAGTAGTGATACAAGGAAACAGCGGTGTCTTTAGGGTTTCTGATGATGTAGATCATCTGTGAATAGAGAGAACACAACATGTTTATAATACATTATAAAAGATCAACATACTCGATTACACATTTCCCTGATTTTCCTTAGGAAGAACAATCACCATCAAATTAGGCAAGAGTCATTGATTTTATATGAGCTATGAAGCTATACAGTTTAGAGTACAATAGGTGACAAATTGCAATAAAAACGAATTAACGTTTAATGCTTTTAGAATGATTTACTGAATATTGTTCGGAAACAAAACACAGAGGTTATTTTGAAAACACAGAGGCTATTTTGAAAAAGAAAGAAAAATTTGAGCAATTTATTTATAAAATAAATCTAATAATCTGAAGCTTCCCGTGAATTTCTCCTTGTACCTTGCATTTCTTGGTTTTGAGCTGCACTGGCAACATCTTGTAGTTCAGGTGTGTGGGGATCAGTCTCGGGGAAGGAAGATTTCTCAGGTCCTCGTATTTGGAAGGATCTCCAAACTCAATGGGAGAGGTCAGTGTCACTGTTCCACAGCCATTTGCACCTTGTTGAGTGCGGTACAGGTTTTTCAGGATCTCTGCCAACCAGTGAGTCCCTGTGAGGGTTGAAGAGAGAAAGACGATGAGAGTGAGACATGATCAAGCTGCATTTCCCACCACAAATCAGCGGCCAAACTGGTGATGAGTTAGGCATATAGTGATGTGTTAAAATCAACGACAATTACAAGTGGAATAAAACTTGAATAAGATTCGATGACTTATTTGTGAAATAAATCAAACCTTTCCATAATCACGACTGGGTAAACATCTGGAATAGTAGGAAGAGGAGAATCATGACAACAATACATATCACCAGTTGGAATTATGAAGGAGTGTTAAGGGAGAGAGGGATTAAGGGATATGGGGATAAGGCGGGCAGACAGAATTAGGTCAGAAGATCAGCCATCATCTTATTGAATAGCGGGGCAGACTCGAGGGGCTGAATTCCCTACTCCTGCTCCTAATTCCTATGTTCCTATGTTTATTGAACACTGTCACATAGTGAAATGTTGCTTTTTCTTCTAAAACCTTCTTACCTGACTTTGGGTAGGACACCAACAGCACATCATCCTCTCTGGCTTCAAAGGAGTCCAACGTGTGTAAAAGCTCTTTTGATGAGCGTGTAGAAAAGGGAATCCCGTTAAACGTGTGGACGAGGGCTGACTGGGATGGCATGTTGCAGACAGGTGGACTCTGAAATCTCAGACTGTGTGTATTAATGAATGAAGAAACTAATACTGGCAGTGCAGAGCATCTATATATCACTGTATCTTGATGCAATTATTTTACTTAGGCAACTTCCAGCAGGAAATGACTTCATGTTATTTAATCTCCAATAAGCACCTAGCCTAGTGTTGGGTTGGAATTTTGCGACACATCTTATAATTATTAACCTTTAGAGTTAACTGTACGAATGGAGCACAAAGTAATTCATTGTCAACATGAAGCTCTGCTGATTATTCCATGTGCCGCGTCAAATGCCTTTTGTTTTGATTTATTTGTCATGGTAATTCAATGCTCAACGTAAAACTAGTTTGAGAAAAAAATCACTCAGATCAATTCAATGAGGTTGAAATTGATATTTGTAAGCTGGGTGGTGCTATGCTATTAGTGACTTCTATTGTGTAAATTAAATTGATGGATTAGGTAAAGATTGGGGGAAGGGAGTGGGGGGAATGTGATACAGAATATCAGCACACCAAAATTTTAACATAGGATCATAAGATTTGTTATGATGAAGCAGATAATTTGACTAATTTGACTTTGTGGAGTCCTGTAGCTCAGTGGTTAGAGCACTCACTTTGCAAGTGAGAGACCCGAGTTCAATTCCAGGCAGAGGGCGAAACCTTGGGCAAGTTTCCTTACTCCACACAGAGCCTAATAATAATCCCTCCAAAACCCAAAACAATAATAAATTGGTCATTTTCAATCTACCACTGTTTGTGGGACATTGCTGTGCGCAATTGGCTGCCGCGTTCGCCCACAAATATACAGTCAATTCACTTTATAATGTGTTCTGTGAAGCGCTTTGGGACGTCCTCCCGACGTGAAAAGCGCTATATCAAATTCAAGGATTATTATTAATATTATAATCTGATCTCAACCTTCCAGGACACTCACCTTATAAATCTTGCCTTCAATGTATCAAGTTTTCTTTTGATGGGTTATAGTGTAATATGTTATCTTGAAGGACTTGGCTCGGGAGAAACTTATTACAACAGCTCATTGAATTTTCTGTAATTGAGAAATTACTGATACAAAGAGTTCCTCTTTAAGGAAGTATTTAACACAAATCAATGGTTCCAAAGATAGATAATGTCTGCTTGACTTCCTCCTCTTCCTTTTCTTGTGTCCCCCATCACCCCAGCCTTCTGCATTACCCACTCCTTCAGCCAATGCTCCTACCACTGCCACCACCCCTTTGCTACCCATTTTTCCCTCCTCCCTCTCAACGATCATCACCCATAAAACTCACCACCTCTGCCGCGGCACCCTCCCAACCCAGCTGCTGGCCACCCAACTGCCCTTCTCTGCCCACTGCTGGCCGACTCAATCAGCCAGTCCCTCTCCTCAGGCTCCATACTGCTCTCTCTCAAAAAATGGTGCCATTGCTCCCCTCCTCAGAAAAACACAGAGAAAGGGGCAGTTGATCCCTCTGTCTTTGCAAACAACCGGCCCGTTTCAAACTTGCCCTTTGTTTTAAAGTCCTGGAATTACTCTCTTCCAGCTGCAACCCCAGGTCCACTGATATTCTGTCCTCTTGATTGTCAGACATCAAGGCCAGGTTGAGTGGCAACTTTCGGCAGCTGAATGTTGACAAAACGGAAGCCATGCTTGAATCCAATCAACGTTTCCTTGCCCGCAGCTCCGACCTCCTAAATCTTCCTGGCCTTTCCCTCAGACCTGTCCATAACCTAGCCTGCAGTTTGAGCCTCAGCTGTCCTTCCTTCCTCACATCCAGTTCCTGGACCTCTGCCACACCGCCCGCTTCTGACCATTCCTCACACCCAACGCAGCTGAAACTCTTATCCACGAGTTCATCACCTCCTGCCTCAATTATTACAATGCTCTCCTCACCAACACCATCCATAAAAATACAATGGATTCAAACCTTTGGAACTCTCTGCCTCAATCCTTCAGCCTTTCCCCCTTTCTCCCCGCCTGAAAACCTTACTCTTCCACCGTGCTTACAGCCACCTCCCCCCTCACCCACCCAACCTGGCTCAGAGTCAGGCTCCATCACTGTGAAGCGCTCTGAGATGCTACCCTGCATGGAAGGCACTATATAAGTGCAAGTTGTTGTTGTTATGTCCAGTATAAATCTAGACATGCTTATAACATCAACTTGCATTTATATAGCACCCGTCTACACAGGATAGAGTCCTAGAGCACTTGACAGTGGTGGAGAGCGATACCAAGCCGGGTGGAGGTGACCTTACACCCGGTCGAAGAGGAAGGTCTTCAGGCGCGACCTGAAGATGGAGAAGGAGGCGGCCAGGTGGAGGGATAGAGAGAGAGAGTTCCAGAGTTGAAACATGGGCATGCGGGACAAGCAAGAGGCCGGAGCCAGTTAAATATAACCTTAATTTTGAAGGGGGTTTTTTTGTAATTTTTTTTAAAGAAACACCACAAACAACTTCAAAGTTAAGACTGATTCAACAATTATGAACGCACTGACATTCTGCTCGAATAGAATCAGTGTAGGTTCTCCTCAATGCAGTGGTAAGGCAGGAAGGCAGAGAGATGGGATTAGGGGAGGCTGTGGTTTGTGGACCATGGAGTCGGCTCAGTGGCCATACAGATGTGTCCTGCTCTTAGTTCCCATTGTTTTCATGGGAAATATTGGTATAAAGTACACACGTGAGAATGACACTTAATTGACAGATTGATAACTCCTGATAATAATAAAGCAAATATGAGGGAAAGCTGACTCTCCCTGGTGCGAAGATTATTGCAAAAGAATAAACTGAGGGATTGGATGAACAAAGGGAATGGGGGTAGTTTGAAGCAAGAAAGATGTAAGGTAATAATAAAAATAATTATAAGGAATGTATTGAATAACATTATAATTTTAATATAACCCTTATCTGAATCCATATGAATACTGGCACTGCACTATACCCCCAGCACAGTACTAAGAGAGTCAACTTATATTAGCTCAAACTCCCAATGTAGGGCTTCAAATCAGCTTCCGTTGGACAATACAAAAAATTTACTGATATTGTGAAAAGTTTTATGGCTGAAAGGATTGGCCTTTGCTGGGATTTTTTCCAAGTCTGCTTCCTGATGTTTGGGTTCAACAATTTGCCATCAAACAATGCAGCCCTCATAGCCTTGACTTACTGAAATAATCATTACCTTCCATCCAGCAATAAAATATGCCTTTCTGCAGATTATTGAGACATGGTTATGATTTGCAGTATTGAGTAATGGGCTAAGATTGATATGAGTCCAAATAATTAATTTCCTGTGCTGAAGTCACAGCAATGGAATCGTTGAACCGAGTATCCCTCTGTGACTGTCTCTAGTCCTGTTCCTGAGCCAGGAGGATCCCAGTATCCCAGGGCACTCACTGCAGCACAGCCCGGCCCGACTCATCGGCAGGACCTGGAAGGGCTGACCAGTCACTGGGGGCAGGGAATCCTCCCCTCAGCTCCTGGTAACCCCACAGCCAAGAGTATCCTGTAGCTTATTGGTTAGGGCATTAGAGCACTTGCCTCGCAAGTGAGAGGACCTGTGATTGAGTGGTGCTAAGAGGAAGAGCAGTCGGTCAAAGAGGAAGATAAGATCTTGAGGAAAGAGCGAAGGAAGGGCAAATTGAAGGGATTCCGGGAGTTCTGATGAGTGGACGGAGTGACTGGGTTCGTACAGTTTGAGGAAGTCAGAGGTCAGAGATCAGAGGTAAGGTAGGGCAAGATCACGGAGGGATTTAAAGTTTACGTTAAGGCACTGGGAACCTAGTGTTGGAAAGGACACAAGTCTGCAGATTTCCAGATAGTCTGCAGCTTGTGAAGGGAATAGGCGAGCGGAGAATTAGCCTAATCTGGCCAGGAAGTCATAAATTATTACAACATTAGATAGAGTGATTATAATTATTAATAATTATTATTATGCGTACGAGCCATTTCAGAAAAAAGTATAAGATGTAACAAAAGTCAGAAGAACAGGAAACAACACAAGTAGCCTTTCCCACAGGATTCCCGTGTAATTCAAATCACAAGGAGAAAACGATGTAGTTTTAACAGACCAAATGTTAACCTCCTGTTTAGCGAAGTAAACTAGCTCCCTCTGGTGTGGGGAATCCTAAACACGTTACTTCGAAACTATATGTTATTAAGTTTAATCCACTTTGCAGGTTACCGTGTACTTATCGGCATGTGAATCAACGGCAATGTTAATGTTGGTTTGCTGCGGGGTCATTTTCCCTTTTTTTGGCCTGTGAACTTAGTAGCTAATTCTAGCAAGAGGAAATTCCGAACCGTGGAAAACCAGCTCTCCAATTGGGATTATATTTAAGAATCTTTCAAAATGTTGCACAATCTTAAATATTAAGACTGTGATCCTGAAACTAAGAGCAGGAGAATATGTTCAGACTGTTAATTATTAACAGCCATAATAATAATAATAATAATTATAATCCTTACGTTTGATATAGCGCCTTATCACACTATTAAGATGTCCCAAAGCGCTTCATAGAATATATTGTAAAGTGAATTGACTGTGTATTTTGTGAACCGTCTCAACGCTGTGATAAGGCGCCCTGTCAAATGCAAGGATTATTATTTATTAAATAATCCATCTTTATACCATTGTGTGAGTGGGAGTTGCAAAGCCCATAATACACACACAATCATTAGGCCATGAATGGAGATGAAAGTTATCAGAACAAGTCAACAGATAAGTTTCTTTTTTTTAATTATTTTTAATAATAATAATAATAAACAAATGTAATGACAAACGAATGTTCACAGAGATCATTTCAAAATAAAAGCAAATAATTACCTGCTGACCAAAAAATATGTGCTAAAATATCTTGTTATAAATAAAAGCTATTTACACATTTATCAATATAATAATATAAGAGAAAGATTTCTATACATGATTATAAATATAGCCATTACAATATTTTCTCCCTAACTCTGTTGATTTAGTGTCAAGAGATTTTCTTCTTCCGACTTCACTGATGTCCC